ATAGGCAGAATGGCCTAATCCTGCTCCTATTTTCTGTGATTTTGAGGAAGTAATGTAGATAGTGGAACTAGTGGATATACTGAACCTAGGTCTCCAAAAGACATTTGACAAGATGCACATCAAATATTGCTATGCAAGGGAATGGTTCTTGGTGCGGGCATAACATAATAACATGGGTAGAAGAATGGTTGGGGAATAGGAAAAGTTTATGGACATAGAAATGTCACTTTTGCGTTGGCAAGATGTGATGACTGGTGTGCTGCAGGGATCAATGCTAGGCCTCAACTATTTGCAGTTGGTACTAATGACTCCGTTGAAGGATTCTGAATGTATCGTTGCCAGTTTTGTTGATGATATAAAGATAGATAGGAAAATAAATGGTAATGAGGGTATAAGGAGTTGGCAAAAGGATATAGATAGGTTAAGTAAGTGGGTAAAAACTTGGTAAATGGTGTAGGCCGTGGATGAGTATGAACTTATTTATTTTGGCAGAGAGCAGAGGAAAGCAGCTTATTATTTAAATGTAGAAAGATTAAAGAGCTCTGAGATACAGAGGGAACTTGGTGTCCAGGTACGTGATTCACATAAAGCTAGAAAGCAGCACTGTAAGTGATTAAAAAGGCAAATTGAATGTTGTCATTTACTGCAGAGACAATGAAATCTAAAAGTAAGGGTGTTTTCCTACAGTTGAGAAAGTGCAATAAGATTCAATTTTTTTCTATTCAGCAGGCTCCACTCAGAGGTGCCTCAATGCATTTTTAATGCATCACTGGCTAGGTCCATTCCTAATTGTCCTCTTGAGAAGGTGGTGGTGAGCTGCCCTCTTAAAGTGCTGTAGCCCACCTGCTGTAGGTTGACCCACAATGCTGTTAGGGAAGGAGTTCCTGAATTTCGATCTGGCAATGGTGAAACCAATCGCAATCGATTTCCAAGTCAGGATGGTGAGTGGGGAACTTGAAGGGGGTGATGTCCCCATCTACCTGCTGCCCTTGTCCTTCTAGATGGAAGTGGTCATGGGTTTGGAAAAGGCCTGATGAGTGGCTGCAGTGCATCTGGTAGATGGCACACGCTGTGTGTGATTGTATAGCGAGTGAATGGTGAAGGTGGTGAATAAGGAGCTAGTCCAGTAGGCTGCTTTGTGTTGGATGGTGTCGAGCTTCTTGAGTGTTGTTAGGGCTGCACCCATCCAGACAAGTGGGGAGTATTCCATCACACTCCTGACTTGTGCCTTGTCAATGGTGGACAGACTTTGGAGAGTCAGGAGGGAAGTTACTCATGGCAGGATTCCAACCTACTGTCGTAGCCACTATGTTTATATGTCTGGTCCCCTACGATGTTGATAATAGGGATTCAGTGGTGGTAATGCTATTGCATGTCAAGGGACAATGTTTAGATTCTCTCTTGTTGGAGATGGTTATTGCCTGACAACTGTGTGGTGTAAATGTAAGTTGACATTTTTGAGGCCAGTTTCAGTATATCTGATATTTACAATATACATTCCATGTCAGGTGTAGAACCTGAGGAGTTCCACAGAATTTCTGGCCTTTCACTGTATGGCTGAAAGGCCTAAGACAGCTAACCCTCCCCACACCATCTCTGCAGTAGCTGGTCAAACTCTAATTCTTCCCTGGACCATGGAATGTGGCAGTCTGCAGCACTTTGTCACGGACAACTCTTCGCCCTGGAACCCAACAAATTTGTACAAGTCAAAGAACATCTTTCACTGAGGTAATGGTCCTCTGGCTACAGTTAATGAGGACTTTGCCCATTTGTTAACTTTGGCCATTTTGCTACAAGCAAGCATGATTCCACTGTCCCCAGTAATTCACACCTGCACTGTCTCTGTTGAGATTTATTTTTTACCTATGACCTGAGATGTAGAGTATCACAGGCAAAGCCTGTATGTACTGTCCTTCCCCTTGCTGCCCATGAGGAGGCGATGGTGAGCTCTCTTGTTGGATGACTGCAGTCCACCTCGTGTAGATACTCCCACACTGCTGCTATCTAGGGTGTTTCAGTGCTCTGATGAAGGAATAATCCATACAAGTCAGGACAGTGTGAGAATTGGAGGGGAACACGTATCTGGCCGTGTCCTCCTGGGCCTGCTGCCCTTGTCTTCCCAGGTGGCAGAGGTTGTGGGTTTAGGAGCAGCTGAGCAGTTGATAACCATGTTGATTTTTTTCTGTGGGCTTTCGATATCCAGCAGAGCTTTTCTGCAGGCTCATCACGACAAAAATGGCACGTGGGCTGTTTCTATCCCCAGCCTGTAAAAGGGATTGCCAGATTCAAACTCTCCCACTTCAAGGCATCAGTGGCTGTGATTTAAGACACCACTCCAATTTCAATTGCAGCCTTGTAAACCACTCCAACCAGCAATTATCCCACATTTAATAAAGAACTGAGCCCAGCACTGGCCAGTGATGTGTGCATCACACACTGACAGACTCTGCCAGTGCTTTGATGAGGGTTTTGGCTTCTCGTGAACTCCACAAATAGTTGAGAAAAGTACTTGAAGTGGAAATGGGCAGGTCCTCCCTCTGTAGCTGCACTCATCTTCGGGAGGAATGCAGCATTATTGGCTGGGACCCCACTCCCTGTCGCTATCTAACGACACCAGTGTGACATTGAGAGGGGGTTCATCTGCGATGCCTCTTTTGGTTGGCCAAGTAGCTAGAACAGTTTCTTTCACCTGGGGGGAAGGGAGAGCTTGGCACTGACAACCTCATTGTTGTAGGGAACTGGACTTTTCCTTAGGGTTGACCCTGAAGTACAGTAAATGCCCTGAGTGAGGTGTAGTGGTGATGAAATAGGGGTTAGTAACACAGGGCGTAGGTTCAAATCCCAGCATGGTAGCTGGGGATTAACTGTAGAACTTTGAGTGACTCTCAATAATGCTGAACACAATCACCATCTGTTGTTCTAAAGCAAGACCCGATGTGATTCCTCAAAGGCGAGTCATATAGACCAGAAATATTAATTCTGTTTCTCTGTCCACAGACCTGCTGAGTTTCTCTAGCACTTTCTGCTTTTGTTTCAGATTTCCAGCGTCTGCAGTACTTTGTTCTGGTTAAATATAATTACTGTCTCTCAGAGATGGCAAGAACTGTCGATGCTGGAGTCAGAGATAACACAGTGTGGAGCTGGATGAACACAGCAGGCCAGGCAGCATCAGAGGAGCAGGAAAGCTGACGTTTCGGGTCGGGACCCTCAACACCTTTTATCTTTCTCTCTCACACTCCCCTCTTTTTGCTTATTCTTTTTGTCTTTCTCTCGTTTTTTTTTTTTAACTCTTTCTCATGTTATGTTTTCTCTCCCGCTCTCTCTCTCTTTCTTTGGAAGTTGGTTTCTTCAATCTCTGCCAGTTCATTCTGTGCGAGAGATGATTAAAACGTAGGATCCTCTCCTGCAAAGTGCGGCACAAACAGTGTTAACGTTAGGGGTCAAGCCATCCTTCATCAGAACCGGTCACATCAGCCAGTGCTAGAAATGAAGCTGTGCTGTTGGCATCAGTTCGGCTTTACAAACCAGTTGTCCAGCCAACTGAGCTAACCTAAACCCCACTTCAGGGATAATAATCCGTGCAGATATACAACTGCCCACTTGGCAGTCAGAAAAGAGAAGGAGGTTTTGTGGTGAGCTTTCATACACATTTAGGAATAACATACTCCCCAGTTTCCAACTCCGATGAAGCTCTAGATGCCTTGACCTTTGCAGAGTTTGTTATCAGGATTGTTCTATTCAAATGTCTAATTCTCAAGGGAATGGCTCCTCACTCTTGTTACTGGAGCAGCGAGGGTTGAAAGACTGACCTTCAACATCCTCCAATAATAAAGCTGACCACTCTCTCCATGCTGCCTTCTGATGTCCTGGCTTATGATAGGAAAAGAGAGAGCTTGCATTTATACACACTTCCCCAGCCTCAAGACACCCCAGTGCTTTTTATAATCAATGAAGTCGTTTTGTGGTGAGATGAAATGAGGTTACATATCAGCCGTGATCTCATTGTGCCGCTGGGAACTGAAGAGGTAATGGGCCCTGACCACATTCTGCTAATAACCCTAAAGACTTGTGCTCCTGAATGACCCACACCCTTCGAATTCAGTTAAAGAAGAAACGAAAACTGATAAAGCAAGAGAAAATGGAATATCATAGTAAACTGGTAAGACTGTAAGAACTTAGATAGAAATTGGCTTGACAGTAGGAGATTGAGGGTGGTGGTAGAAAGTTGTTGCTCAGACTGGAGGCCTGTGACCAACAGTGTGCCACAAGGCTTGGTGCTGGGTCCACTGTTGTTCTTCTTTTATATAAATAATTTGGATGCGAATAAAGGAGGCATGGTTGCGGATGACACCGAAATTAGTGGTATAGTGGTTATCTGAGATAACAATGGGATCTTGATCAACTGGGCCAGTAGGCTGACGAGTGGCAGATGGTGTTTAATTTAGATAAATGTGAGATGTTTCATTTTGGAAAGATAAACCAGGGCAAGACTTACATAGTTAATAGAGGGCTCTGGGGAGTGTTGTTGAACAAAGAGGTCTAGGGGTGCAGGTACATAGTTGCTTGAAAATGGCACTGTAGGTAGACAGGGTGGTAAGAACGCGTTTAGCATGCTTATCTTCATTGGCCAGCGCACTGAGTACAGGAGTTGGGACATCATGTTACAGGTATACAAGACATTGGTAAGGCCATATTTGGAGTACTGTGTAAGTTCACCCTGCGATAGGAAGGATGTCATTAAACTGGAAAGGGTGCAAAAAAGATTTACAAGGATGTTACTGGGACTGGAGGATTTGAGTTATAAGGAGAGAGTGAATAGAATGGGGCTATTTTCCCTGGAGTGTCAGAAGCTGAGGGGTGACCTTATAGATGTCTATAAAATCACGAGGGGCTAGATAAAGTGAATAGCCAAGGTCTTTTCCCCAGGGTAGGGGAGTCCAAAACTATAGGGCATTGGTTTAAGGTGTGACTGGAAAGATTTAACAGGGACCTCAGGAGCAATGTTTCACACAGAAGGTGGTGCGTTTTTGGAACAAGCTGCCGAAGGAAGTGGTAGAGGTGAGTACAATTACAACATTTAAAAGATGTTTGGACTGGTACATGGATAGGAAAGGTTTAGAGGGATATGGGCCAAATACAGGCAAATGGTGCCATTCAGTTTAGGAAACCTGGTCAGCAAGGATCTGTTTCTGTGCTATATGACTGTATGACTATAAAAAAAATTGGCAAAATGAAATGTGGGCTCACGACAGGCAGCGACAGGAGAATTTATAATTGAGAATAAGAAAACGGCAGAGAAACACATGGAAGAAAACACAAAAATTTCCCAGGAATACTAGAGGACTGAGAATTATGAAATGGAACAAATTATTATCCTTAAAAAAGGTAGAACTGGAGAAATCGATGGGATTGAAAGTCAGTCTGAGTCCCAGAGTATTGAAAGACATGGCTAAGATAGTAAATGCATTGGTGGGTAGTAAGCTTTCAAATCTAGAGTAGTTCCTGTAGATTGGAAAGTGCAAATGTGAACCCCATTGTTTAAGATGGGAGAGGGAGAAAACGGAGAACTACAGACCTATTACCCACACTCCAGCAGTAAGGAAAACATTAGAACTTATTATAAGGGATGTGATAACTGGATACTTGGAAAACAGTTGTGGGATTGGACAAAGTCAACCTGCAATTATCAAAAAAAAATTGTGTTTGACAAAACTGTTTTTTAGTGGATATAACTGGCATTATAAATAAGGATGAATCAATGGCCGTGCTACATATGGATCATCTGAAGGCTGTCGATAAACTTCCAGGCAGAAGGTCAGTAAACAAACCTGGGGTACTTAGAATTGGTGGTTTAGGGGTGAGAGGCATTCAGGGCTGCTAATATACTGGCCTGGATTGAGAATTGGTGAATGGACAGCAAACAAATAGTTGGAACGAATGGGCATGTAGGCATAACGTGACCGTGGGATACTGCAAGGATCAGTGACTGGGTCACAGCTATTCATAATCAATATCAATGATTTGAACATGGGGACTAAGTGTAATATGTGCAAGTTTGCAGATGATACGAAACTTAGTGGGAATGTGAGGTATGAAGAGGATGCGAAGAGGTGTCAAGGGGATTTAGGCAGGTTGTTTGAGTGCACAAGGTCATAGCAGATTGAACATAGTTGGGAAAAAAATTGAGGTTATCCATTTAGGTAGGAATAACAGAAACGTAGAATATTCAGTAAACGATGAAACATTGAGCGGTGGAAGTGATTTCACCTGATGGAGGAGCAGCGCTCCGAAAGCTTGTGATTTCAAATAAACCTGTTAGACTATAACCTGGTGTTTTGTGACTTCTACTTTGTTAAGCCCAGCCCAATACCGGCACCTCCACATTATTGTCCATAAGTCACTGAAAGCTAATGTATAGTTGCAGCAAGCAATCAGGAAGGCAACTGGTATATTGCTCTTGATTACTCGAGGATGTGAGTACAGGAGTGAAGATATCTTCTGTAGTTGTAAAGAGCCTTGGTGAGATCACATCTGGAGTATTGTGTCTGGTTTTGGTCTCTTTCCTCAAAGAAGGATAGACTTGGCACGGAGAGAGTGTCAAGATGGTTCGCCAGGCGACCCCCTGGAAGGCAGGATTATCTTTTGGGAGGGATTGAAGAGACCAAGCCCTCAGAATAAAAGGGTGAATCACTTAGGACTGAGCTCCTTTATTCATTCACGGGATGAGGGCGCCTCTGACCAGGCAGCATTTATTGCCCATCCCTAATTGCCCAGAGGGCACTTGAGAGTCAACCACATTGCTGTGGGTCTGGTGTCACATGTAGGCCAGACCAGGTAAGGATGGCAGTTTCCTTCCCTGAATGGCATTAGTGAACCAGATGGGTTTTTCCGACAATCGACAGTGGATTCATGGTCATCATTAGATCCTTAATTCCAGATATTTTATTGAATTCAAATTCCACCATCTGCCGTGGTGGGATTTGAACCCAGGTCCCCAGTATGTTATCTGGGTCTCTGGATTAACAGTCCAGCGATAAAACAATTAGGCCATCGCCTCCCCCAAGAGATTCTTGTTGTCAGTCAGAGATTAATGATTCTTTGGAATCTGTGGAGGTTCAGTCATTGAGTGTATTCCAGACAGAACCTTCTAGAAAACAAAGACATCAAAAGGATGTGGGGATAGTGCAGGAAAATGGCCTTGAGATGGACTATCAGCCATGATCTAGTAGATGGGTGAGCAGGCTGAGGGGCCAAATGGCCTTTGCCTCCTATTTCTTATATTCCAAACTTTGGTATTGCTGCTTTGACGGGGCTCACATCCTGTAGAAGATGTTATATTCACCAGAAATCACAAAGTTCACACTCAGCAGAATATCTTGCTTATTTTTTAATGACATACCAATGAGTTGAGAAATACCAGCTTCCGATCCCCACAGGTGAGGAATGACCACAAGTGAAAACAGTATATTTTAAGAGTTCCTTCACCATGATTTAATTCCAAACCTTATTTACCCTCCTTGCATATAGGATGTAAACAGTTTTGAAATTTGGGGCACTTTGTAGAGTGCCAAGCTGACCATGGTATTTTTATCATACTGTTTATAGCTGCTTGCGTTTCCTATCATCTTAGGATTGGCAAATAACTTGAACATTTTGTAATAATTGCAACTAAGGAAAAATATCTTACTTCTGGGCAAAACAATATTTACTAAAATCCTGATTTTAGCTGGTGACAGGATTTGGGTGGCTCGGAGTGGGGATGTGAACCAGACTTGAACAGCATCGGGTCCGGGATAGTTGGACCCTCAGCCAACACTGCTGGAACCGATTTTGTGGTTATTAATAATATCATTTGTGGGAGCTTGCTGTGCGTGAATTGGCTGTGACATTGAATCATTGACTTCATGTCAAGAAGTACTCGTTGGGTGTCGAAGAGTTTGGGTTTACCCTGGTGAGGTTGTAAAAGGTGCTATGGAAATGCAAGTCTTTGGCTCTTCCATAGAACAGCCAGGGTCCAGGGTTCATTTTGTAGAGGGAGCTGACCTTCGCTGCGTTAGAGGTTAAGATTTGACAACTGGCCTCTTGTACACTAGACCAAGGGAGATGTTAGTTAATCAGGGCTCGCTGTTCCTGATCTGCGTTCCGTCGGAAGGTCAAGGTGTACCAATAGGAGCTTCCTGTCAAAATATTAAATTAACTTTTGTGGAAGATAGTTCAGATTTTAGGCTAGTACTCACAATGGGTTTGAGCTTTAATGGGGAAGCTCACAGTGTGGAAGCAGGCCATTAGGCCCATACTGTCCCTCTGAAGGGCACCCCACCCAGACCCACCTCCATGCCATATAACTCTGCATTTCCCATGGTTAACGCACCCAGCCTGCTCATCCCTGGACACTACAGGCAATTTAGCACAGCCAATCCACCTCATCTGCACTGTGGGAGGAAACCGGAGGAAACTCACACAGACACAGGGAGAATGCATAGACAGTCATCTGAGGGTGGAATTGAACCTGGCTCCCTAGTGTTGTGAGGCAGCAGTGCTAACCACTGTGCTACCCGAGAGTTGTGAAATAGAGTTGTTTAGCAGCTGGGTCGGCTCAGGGGACAGGTTCCCCCAGCCACTGAACCCAAAGGTTCTGGGTTCAAGTCCCAGCCCACTACTGACTGTGAAATGCTGACCTGCTGTGTGTATCCCCATTGTGGGTAAAGGTAACAGTTAGCGGCAGAGAGGAGGTTCTGGAGTTGGATACTGGATACAAAGCTGAGAAAAGTGTGTTGTGTGCAACAGGGGCAACTGGGATATTCTAGAACTTGAAATTTCTGTAAAGAAGACTCATTCCCAATTCAAAATGAGCAGGAGCAGAAGTCCTAAACCTTATTTAGGAGGAACAGTAGCCTGAGAGCCTTCAAAGAATCTTTAGTTATGTGCCTCATTGATACCTGGAGGGAAATTTATTGATTTCACTTGATTCATCCCTATGATGGAGAGCTTAGGAAGAAAATTTGAACAGGATTGTCCAATCTCTTTCAGAGTTTTCAAAGAAAGAGAGGCGATCTTATTAAAATATATAAGACCCTGAGAGGGTTGGATCCCAGGAGAAAGTTTCCTCTTATGGGGGAGATTAAACTTGGGGTCAAGGGATAAAGAATACACCGTATCCCTTTCAATACAGATGTGAGGAGACCTTTTTTTGTCTCAAAGTGCCATTAAAGTATGGAATTTCCTTCCTGAGGAGGTAGTGGAGACTGAGTCTTTAAATTGAATCAAGGCTGTTAGATAGATTTTTGATAGAGTCAAGGGTTATGCGGTGCAATCATTTGTGATTGAACTTCCAGCTGCCTGAGCCTTAAGCTCATAAATTCCCTCTCTAAACCTCTCCGCATTGCTCTCTCACCATTATAGATCCTCTTCAAAATGTGCTTAAGTGACCAAATCTTTCATCATCTGTGCTCAACTCTCCCCCTTCATGCGGTTCAATGCTTTTTGTTTTATTACACTCCAGTGTAAGCGCCTTCTACCAACTAGAAAGGTGCCACATGAGTGCAAGTTGTTGCTGTAGAATGCCTGGAAAATCTCAAGTCCTTCAGCAGAATGTTCTGATTTATTTTGAGCACAGAAAAACCAATCTCTGCAGGTGAGGAATGACCATAAGTGAAAACAGTATATTGTAAGAGAGTTCCTTCGTCATTAATGGGCTCCCTCCCTTATTTACCCTCCTTACATTTAGGATGTAAACAGTTTCGATATTTTGAGTCCTTTACGGAATGCCAAGTTGGTCATGGTTTACCTCTCTCTCTATTTTTATAGTTGTTTGTGTTTCCTGTCATTGGCTATTTGCTTGAACATTTTGCAAAGATTATTGCAATTAAGGAGAGACATCTCATCACCAGGGACAGTTTATATTTATTAAAACCCCAATTTTAACTCGACCCCTTCTGTGCTGGCATTAAAATGCTTACAGTAACAAATTCATCTGATCTCTGCTGCCCTGGTGGCCCATGCTATTTATCATGTTAAATCTGACTGGTTAAAGGCTGGCTTTGAAAGGCAAAGGTCTGGGTTTGAATTTGAACTGCCTGCCCTCTGTGGACTACTGGCTTTTGGAGTGTGAGTTCGATAGGCTTCCGCTCAAATTTATTTTTAAACATTACCTTGTGGACCGCAGAGCAGGTTCCCTGACAGATTGTACAGAGCTCCTTTGACAAATATACGTGCCCTCACCAGCATGCTGTGTCAAGAAACTTTCCTTTAGGAGGTCCCAGGTCATATCTCCTGCTCATTTCACCCTCTACCTGCTGACATGAGTCATTGACGTGAGAGTTGGAGCTGGCTAAATGAGCCCAGAGTGAGGATGAAGATCATTTCCCTGAGCCAGGTTGTACCTGAAAGTTACTCTCCTGCCTCCACCTTTACCCCTCATCCCTCATCCCCCCTCTCTTCTTGCCCCTTATCCCCCTGACTCTCCTCATGCCCTCACCCATTACAATCCTTCTGCTACTAAAGTCCAGCATTCTAAATGCAGGAATGGGGGATGGGGGGGGTGGGGGTTGGTAGAGGGACCAGGAAGGGAGTGGGGGTCAGGCAGCGGAAAGTTTCTAAAAACCGAAAGAACTGCAGATGCTGTAAATCAGAAATAAAATTAGAGATCGCTGGAAAAGCTCAGCAGGTCAGGCAGCTTCTTTGAAGAGAAATCAGAGTTAACGTCTCGGGTGCTGTGGAAGGGTTACTGGACCTGAAACGTTAATGCTGGTTTCTCTTCACAAATGTCACATCTGTCGAGAACATTGATCAGTTTACAGATGTCTGTTAGGTCC